GACAAATATAACCTCAGGGTTTATTATCGGAATTTCACAGTACACAGGAGGAAAATGGGCCTTAAAGTTTTACTTTTTTGATTAAAACTATTTAAAACACTGACAACATTTTCCACTCACGGTATAATACAATTTTCTTTTTACAAGTTCACTCCAATCTTTTCGTAATATTTCATTCTTTCTTGATAAAGGTCGGCAAACACTACACTAGACTGTTGGCTAGGACATGAAGTGGGGACATTTTGCAGCGACAGATTTCGTCTTAAGTCATACCCTTCTTTCTGAAAAAAAAAATCTATTGCGGGACGGGGGCGGGGGGGGGGGGGGACAGAATTTTGTCGCTTCAACATGTTGCAGGAAATTCAGCTGGTTTGAGTTCGTGCGTCATGAAGCAGGGATAAAATAACCTCAATTTTCAATGTCGCATCACCTACCCAGCTCTTGCAGACTTTTCTCGCCACAACATAGAAATAAACCAATATATCTGTTTTGTGTCATCTTGCAAGCTGTCCCTTCAACATGCGTTTATGGGTACACATGAAGGGCCTTGTCCATTTCCGTTGTAGTGTGTGCCGGCCTTAATAGTGATGCATACTTCGAATGCCACGAAGTATGCAAACAAGCCGGTTACATTCTTATGGTACTTTCAGCTTTTCCAAATATGGACTCCTGCACAAACAAAGCAATCAGCGAGATTAGAAAGAAAAACACAGCGGAAACTAGTTCCCAGGTCACCAGCACGACACCGATCGAGAAGCCTACATTCCTGGAAACCTTATCCAAATACGAAATATACTTCTCAAAGTGAAATTTTGAAAGCCTCCTTCTATGTTGTATTTTTCCGACGAATCGTGCCGATCTATAGAATACGTTCTGAAGCCTTTCTATGTCGTCATTGGCTGGGTTCACTGTCATGTGACCGGTATCAGGCATGTGAATTCGAAAGGAGGTGCCAGGAGCCTGCTGTTCACTGCGGTCAGAGAGTGTCTCTCTGGTAGCGTGCTCGTCTGCAGTGGTCGAAGGTTGCTCGTCATCCGAACTGGAATCAGAATCATCACACTCGACCCAGGCCTTAACCACCGCTATTAGATGCCTGAAGCAAAAACAGACATCAAGAGGTGAAGCAACAGATCATTGAATAAAGTGCGATGAAAATTGTTCTTTCTAGAGTAGGACTATATATAGCATTATTCAAGAAAGTTCTAGGGTATTGAAGCTTTTTAATTT